TCTCCTGAAAGTGTTCCAAGATTATGCTTAGGCCAAACAATGACACACGGTGTTGGAACTGGTATATCTAGAGGAAAGAACTCACACTGGGGCACAGATTATGTTGGCTCTGCAGGAACAGGCCCAGAGATAGTTAACCCCATGCCATCTTGTGTCAGGAAAGGTTGTGTGTGACAATTGCACCATTCTACTTCCTTTCCTTTGGCAGGGAAGGTTCCAACACATTCCTTGCCTGGCACACATCCTTGTGGTGCATTACTTCCTGGACATGGGAGGAAATTATTATTATTATTATTATTATACAGGATTTATATAGCGCCAACAGTTTGCGCAGCAGGAGATGATGATTCATGATGGACCTTACACATATCAGATTCAAAGGGTCTGCTATGTATTTTTTTTTTGGGAAGGGAACTCAACGCAGTTTTTTTTTCTTTCTTGCTGCAGGATGTTCTCCCATAAAAATGACATTTACAAAGAAAAACATTATCCAGTTTAAATTGATGACAAATTACATTCATTGATTGCTTCTTAAAACAAAACCCAGCACAAAATCTCCTCTAAAGGTCCCACAAAATATATAGCAGACACTTGAGGTCAGCAGCACTTTCTGTACATCGCAGAGATGCACTCCAATCACAGGCAGGATTAGGGAACCCCCATGTTTCACTTTGAAAGGTAACTACACTTTAACTGAGAAAAACAATGGGTGTCAATGTGCAACATGAATCTAAATGGTAGTTATTTTTCATTATAATTCAGCTGTGCTTGCAGTGTTATAATGAGGAAAGTAGCAGGATCTGTACCTCTTTAGAAGTGACTTTTTATGTTGTAGGATGTCTAAAATCTGACTTATAGCTTAGTGCAAACTTCAGGGAAACTCAGTGAGCCAATCGCACAAGCAGGAAATGACATTTCGGGGGGAGTTCTGTATACCAGCTGTGTACAGAAAACCTCCAGGTTGGCATATTGTTTTGAATGTTACAGAAAATTACTGTACTGCAGATGAAAAAGAAAATATAATTTAATAACATTCAATTAGAATGTGGTTTGTGTAGCAATTATATGCTATAATGTATTTTTTATGCTATTTTTTCCCATGATGGTGGAGCTACCCTTTAAGCCTTTTAAAAATCCCTGCTCCTGATCAAATGGAATTTGAAAAAAAGTTTTTTTGCATTGGTATGCATTCCCTAGGATGGTGCCTACATCAATCAAGTTATTTTTTTTAACAGCCCCCAGCATATTAGTCCAGACAATGGCCATTTTTAATTTTATAGGCATCAGCAACACTATTCTTGTGGTGTTCCTGCTGGTGAAGACATTGCATAACAGGGCACAGGAGAGGAGGACATCCAGGTGTCTCAGGGCCCAATATCACCAGACTATGTCCCTGTGAGGTCTCAGCAGGTATAGGAGCAGCATGAGGAGAATACAGAAGAGTATGCTTGCCATGGTGACATTCAGGAGGAGGTGAAGGACATGAGTCAGTCTTCCACAAGTTGATTTTATCCCTCCCAAACCCCCAGGAGTTGCATGTGGCTGGGGGGAAGTAGTTGAGGACAATGTCATCCTCAATGACCCTGTGGACGTAGGTTGCTCTGCCTCTGGTAACTTGTAGTCAATGGGCCCATTCATAATGTCTACCCAAAGATTCTGTCCTTTTTCTATTTATTACTAAATTGGGATATTTCTTTCTTTCTCTCTCTCTAATTTCAAATAAGAAGGGGTAAATTCTTTTTTTCCAGTGCGATCACCCTGATTTCTATCACAACACTACTCACCTATCCAAAAGGATATACAAGTTGCACTGCAATTCTTTTTTATTGTTTCTTTCCTCTATATGCAATGAAATAACCACATTTTATGGAAGATGCAATCTGCTTGTTGCATGGCTGATTTATAGCAGCCTTTTCAAATAGACAGAATATAGAAAAAGAGTAGGTGAGTTGCATAACAGACATCAAGCCTATATGGGAAGGCGGCAATTTCTGATTGTTTGAGTATTCATATTTTGTCTCTCACACATAGTGCGTCTGGTCATGATTGCACAGCCAGCAATTACATGTGGCAAACAGCCACAAATAGCTGTAGCTGCTGACGGACTGTCACTGTAACATCATGGCAAAAAACATCTGTACAAATAGATTAAAATGTTTTACTTCCAGAAGAAATGTGCCTGTTTCTCCCTCAGAAATTGTGGTCTATCCAATAAGGACTTCAAAGGTATGGTGCTAATTGTTTCATGTTTTTATGTTCATTGTAACACAAAAGACACACTTTTTTTTTGTAATTCCCAGTTACAATATGCCTGATCAGTCACTCAGAAATTACAGCTTGACCATACAAGGTTAATATCTGTGGTGCAAATGTATAACATTTTCCCATCTTTAGCCTCCAAAAAATATACTATTTTTTTAATTGTACATGCAATCTGCTTGCTCTTTCCCTCAGAAATTGCAGCCTATACAATAAAGGTTTCTCTTTTAAGATGCAATATGCCTGCTCAATCCATAAAAAATGGGGCCTGTCCAAAAAAGGCTTAAAAGCTGTGGTGCTAAACTGTAAAATCATTTTCTTCTTATTCTAACAAATATTTTTTTTATTTACAGATGTAATATACATGCTCATTTGCTCAGAAATTGCAACCAGTATATACAGTACAGGCTTAAGACCAGCAGTGTAAATTTGTAAACTTTTTCTGTCCTCAGTCTCCTCAAAAATTATTTCTGAAAATGGTTTATTTCCATTTGCAATTCGCTTGTTATTTCCCTCAGAAATTTTGGCCTATCCAATAAAGGCTTCACAATTGTGCTGCAATTCTGTTCAGTTTGTCTTTAAATTTGAAACAGACATTAAATTCTTTTTCACGATGCAATATTTCTGTTCAATCCCTAAGAAATTGCAGCCTGCACAAAAGGTTTTGGCTTTGTAAAAATACTTACATGATATGCAGGATAATCATAACATATTTTTGACTCTTGACAGTGACATAATAAACTGATTTTTTTTTTTTGTACACGGAATAACACGTACATCATCTCTTTCTCTGACGTAGTTGCTGAATACAAATGATTGCATAATGTGTAGTGAGTCTTTTACCATTTTTTTTGCTGAGAAATAACACACTCTAGTTGGTATTCCAGTAACAAAAACTGAATTTTTGGATTACTGCCCCAAGCCCAAACCAATTTGCTTCTATACTCTCCAGCCACTGTGCTATAGTATGTTTGGCTGTTGTCTATAAAACATAGCACTGTTATTTTGTAGTTTGAAAAACTGCCTCATCTCTGAAATGTGGGTTTGTGATTTAGAGGTATTTTGATGCACTCTTGGTTGAAATGTTTTGTTAAACTGTGTACACAATACACATAGATAAAAAATTACATCAATGACTAAAGCAGCGTAGATTATGATATTTTCTTTCCACAGGTGGAAGGAAAGAAAATTATCTTGGTTCCCCCATCAATACAGTCAGTGTGGCTGGGGCAGTCCCTCCATGGTGCTATTGTGTTTTGCCAGTGCGCCAGCAGTGATTGCATGAAAAGAAATCAGACAGTCTTAAAATATTTTAAGCAACAGACAGGATGGATTCATGGAAGACAGAAGTTGTCAAACAAATCTGATTTCTTTTTATGAGAGGTTGAGCAAAACCTTGGACAGAGGGGTGGCGGTGGACGTGGTATACTTGGATTTTGCAAAAGCGTTGGTGACACAGTTCCCCACACATGGCTAATGTGTAAGGTAAAGTCTACGGGCTTGGAAAAATCCATATGCAAATGATAGAAAACTGGCTAAAATATCGTATTCAAAGAGTAGTGGTCAATGATTCATACTCTGAATGGTCTAGGGTTGTCAGTGGTGTACCCCAAGGTTCAGTGTTGGGACCCTTACTTTTTTAATATATTTATAAACGATATAGGGTCACTAAAACTAATATTTCTGTTGATGTACAGTATATAAGCCTGCCATGTGTCTTGGCTGGACTGGAGAAACGGTTAATATGAAAATTTGATTTCCAGAGAAAGCAGTAAAATCCAGTGCAGTTTGTTTTGGCATGTATAACAGCTGATAGTTAAAGACAGTTCAAACTTCTGTAACTAACAGAAAATGATCCAGATTTATCCATTTATTTTCCAAATAACTGCAGTAAGGGTAAAAAATGAGCTATGGGTAATGCTGAACCATCAGAAGCAGACTTCTGTACTTATTAGTTATTACAGCTACTTATATAGCGCAGCGCTTTACATATATACAGTATATTGTCCATTCACATCAGTGCCTAACCCTCAAGGAGAATACAATCTAAGGTCCATAACTCACACTCATACATACACATACTAGGGTCAATTTAGGCAGGAACCAATTAACTTACTAGCATGTCTTTAGAGTGTGGGAGGAACTGGAGTACTCAGAGGAAACCCACACAGGTACAGGAAGAACATGCAAACTCCAGACAGGTGGTTGGGATTTGAACCTAGGACCCTAGTGCTGCAGGAAATGCTAACCATTTAGCCACTGTGCTGCCCTGACTGCAATTACCTAAAAAGTGCCTCTGTTTCCAAGCCATGGCTGGCATTCTTTATTCTGGTAAAGGACAGTTGGTGATGGTTCTTCACCGTATAAAAGCTTATAAATAAAGCAGATACTAGGGAGATGTAGGGACACCACACCACTATCTCTACATTGGGTGGCAGCATATAGAAGAGGAAAACAGGGGAGCTACTTGGGGGACCTCCACCAAGGCTCCATTTTGTTCTTATACTTCTTCCTCTTCAAGAGACAACAAAGCCAAATGTGAGTGGCCCTGCTGTGTTACTACAGTCCCAGCTGGTGCGAGGAATGACAGCATCCAGAGGAGGACTTGCTATCTGGCAGAGACCATGTCTCTGCAAGATGGCACAGAAAAGACTGACCACCAATAAAAATGAAAGGATTCAATATGTTATTTATACACCACAGATTACATGCCACAGCATGTGTTACACAAGCAGCAGCAGGTTAAGCTCCCTGGCGGTATTCCCTAGTGTAGCTCGGGGTAAACTTTCAGTACCAAAAGCAGTAACCTCGAGCTACACTGGGGAATACCCTGCAGAGTTGCTCCGGGATCCCTCTTGCACTTACCTTGTCCTTCGCTCCCGCGATGTCCCCCCTGCAGCATCCCCGGCCATCTCCTTTGGCTGATGCCGGCATCCGTCTTCTGGGTTCCGTTCCCTGCGAGCGTCTGGACTAACGGGGGATGGAACCGGCGTTAAATTCAAAAATGTTAAAAGTGAAATTCGCTCAATACACTAAAATCACATAGTAAAACATTTCTGTACCAAACCATTTCACATACATTTTGTCCCTAGTGCTTTGTCCTGTGCCCTGCCTGCATTTTTACTGTTCTTTCTGCCAAAAAATTACAAATAAAAGAAAAAAAAAATAATCTGGAACTGAGAAAAGTCCATGGCTTCCAAAAAGCGTCCCTTTAGGTCAAAAGCAGTTTTAGACCAGCTAGAGAACAGTGATAGTAAACCAGAACCACTTGCAGAATGTTTACTAGACTCTTGTTCGGACAGATTTTAGTGAGTTATTCCTAAAAAATTACAGGCCTACAATAAAAAAATGACATATTTCATGCAAAAAAAGTACCGCTTTGAGCACAGAAATACTGACATAATCATACCGCTAGGGAGGTTAAAGGCTAAGTTCACCTTTTTTTTTTTTTTTTATTCCAGCCCCCCCTATCTACCAATATACCAGTAATGTACCTCTGTTGCAGAAAAATAAAAGCTTACCTTAGCCCATGCTGTGTTCCATAGAAAGTGTATGACTTCCTGGTATGTAGATTTTGGGATGTGAAAACCAGTAAGGCACAGGAAGCAGTTCACCAATTGACCTCATTAGCACACACACACCCTGCACCCATCAATTATGTGTGCATGGTATCACTCCAGGCATGCACTTGCCTAGCTTGTCAATGTAGGCTGCCACAGCAGCTAAGTTTGTACAAAAATAGCAAATTAAAAAAAATAAATAAATCTGAAGTATACAATTGCGACTCAAGTCATATTGTAATTGAATATGATTACAACATTGTACCCAAACTAAAATTTTATCATTTTCTTCACACAGCTTTCTTTTGATGGTATTTAATCACCTCCAGGGATTTTATTTTTTGCTAAATTAACAAAAAAAGACTGAAAATTTTGCTAAATTAACAAAAAAAGACAGAAAAAAAAAAAACACGTTTTTCTTTGTTTCTGTTATAAAAGTTTGCAAATAAATAATTGTTCTTCATAAATTTAGGCCGAGATGTATTCTACTACATGTCTTTGGTGAAAATAACCCAAATTAGGATGTATTTTTTAGTTTGTAGGAAAGTTATAGAGTTCACAAACTATGGGATAGATCTGAATATTGATCAATCCTGAAGTTCTGACAGCCAATCTAATTTCTTGAGGTCCAAGTATGTCAGAACAGTACAGATATCCCCCAAATGACCCCTTTTTGCAAAGTAGACAGTCCGACGTACTTCATAAGAGGCATGGCGAGTTTTTTGAAGTTGTATTTTTTGTCATAATTTTTCGGAAAATGAAAAAATTAAAAAAAATATTTTCACTATTTTTTTTTTACATACTGTCACCAGTGCAGTACAGCTTCATCATATAACTGTCATGGCAGTGATCAGGGACACTGACTGGTGACCGTATGGAAAAAAAAAAAAATATATATATATTTTTTTTTATTATTATTTTTAATTTTTTTTACATTTTTTTAAAATTTTTTTAAGATTTTTTTTTCATATTTCACTATGTCCAAAGTAGTACAATGTTACCATAGTAACATTGTACTACTTTGGGAAAGTGATCAGTATTTTATTTACTTACACAATTTGCTTATAGCAAAGAATTACTTTGCTATAAGCAAGCATTTAACTGAATGACATTGATTCATTCAGGGGTTTTTTTTCTGTGCTTAGCTGTGATTTAACCACAGCTAATCACATGACATGTGTATGTGATCGCTGTGACCATTCACAGCTAGACACTAGTATACAATGGATGGCATGAATGAAGCCATCCTATTGTATACAACTGTCATGTGACCTGCTGTGATTGGTCACAGCAGGTCACATGGTACCGGCAATGGGGGCGGTACTCAGATCTGTCATCGACCATGTCCGCGGTACATGGCCGGTGACAGATCGTGCCGCTGCGCTGCTCTGCAAGCACGAAAACTGTGCATGCCCGGGAGGACGCCATATGGCATCCAGCCAGAAATCTACAGCATTTTGCCGGCCGCCAAATGGCTATTGGCCGAGCGGCTATTGGTTAAAAATCTGTCGTAACAATGTAAGGTTTATGTAATGCAGTTTTATGTAATGCTAGCTAACTATCCATGGATCTTTTTTTTAAATTATGAAAACATCAAAGAAAATGCAAGTCTTAATGTTACCATTTCCAAACTGTGCAGCTGTACAAAGACTACCTTGTCACATAATAATTTATTACAAACCAAGTAGTAAAGTCCAATTAAAGATGCATAGAAAATCACAGTATGCTATGGGACACATGTCAAACAGTATTCTCATAAATTGAGCACTATTTATTATTATTATTATTATTATTATTAACTAGTATGTATGTGGAATATTCTTCCACAAAAACTAGTTTTAGCCAAGTCCTTAAGATGTAAAAAAAACAAGACTGGATGTGGTTCTTAATCTACAGAATATAACAAGCTTTAAGAATTTATGCATAACAACATTTTATATTGTTGATCTAGGAGGTATGATTGCCTTAGGGCAGTGTTTCTCAACTCCAGTCCTCATGGACCCCCAACAGGTCATGTTTTCAGGATTTCCCTCAGATGAAACAGCTGTGGTAATTACTAAGGCAGTGAAACTGATCAACTCACCTGTGCAAAATAATGGAAATCCTGAAAACATGACCTGTTGGGGGTCCATGCGGACTGGAGTTGAGAAACACTGCCTTAGGGGTTCAGGTAGGATTTTTTTTTCTGTTGGAGCAAAACGGCCTTTCTTTATACATTTTTTTTTTAGCCTTCCTCTAGTTCAGCTGTACATTTGTGAACTCTAAGTAAATATGCTATCACGTAACTCCTGATAATATCAAAAAACCTTCTGCAGCGTAGCAAATACATGCAGTGTTATTATAACATTGAGTAGCAATGATCTGAACAAACCTGCGTTCAGTTCAGAATGGGTTCCCCAAACACTATTGACAAGGGTCAAATCCAAACAGCACTGAAGTCAGTAAGAACCAAATTTTAGAAATCAGTAATGTCCAATTTCTAGCTTAATAGGCAAGGGATTATCAAACAAATGGCACTGGGAGGCTGGGTAATGCCCAGGGGAATACATTTCAAACTTTTTAAAAATTTCATTTGGCAAGGAGCAGTGTTTTTCATAATGTCTAAAGTGAAAAATAGAAAATGCACAATTCCTTTAAACGTATTAAGGAGAGAAGAAGATGCGCCCTGCTTGATAAAAGAGCGCGCTTCCGCCACTAGAGGCCAGTGCATGCTCCGAAAAACACGTTGCATTGCATACTGTTCACTGACGTCATCACGCCTACGCCAACGTTGCGGTTCAGCGCGCGTTCCAGCCTCCATCTTGAGGAGTACGTGCATGCTGTCTGGCTCTACAACTGTCTCCCTCCTGTTACCACGCTCCTTACCAGTGAGACGCGGACGTACTAGGCAACAGTGACAGCCGTTCTACACAGTGTTTCTACACCATGTACCTAACATGCATGTATTTCTCTACTATCATGTGAGCGTTCCTAATTTTATGCTATATTAAAGTGGTCTGCTGCACTTAGATGCACTTCTTCTTCTCTTCCTTACTACACAGAGTCTGCTACAGTACTGCATGGTGCTAGCTCTTGGTGAAAGTAGTTTGGGTGACTTGGATTAGGGGGGTCAGTATGGCACTAACTATTAGACTTTTCGGACTTGGTGCCAGTATTTGCGCTGATTATCAATTTCTTTTTTCTCCTTCAAACAGTATCACTGGGAGATGTCCTTAACCTACCTGTGAAGTGGTACATCTTACAAACTACTAGAGCAAAACTGACATTTACAAAGAAGAAAATTTCATTTAATTTCCAGAAAAAGACAGCTCCAGCCTCCTTTTTGCTGTTTGTAAACAAAGCAGTCATACATTATTTTCATCTGTAAAATAAGAAGAAAAAAAAAGGGGTGCGCAAAGCGTTATTAATAAAATATAACAGATGTAAACTCACAAACGCCATATTGACTTAAGCATATCGTGACCAACCACATGAGGATGCTTAAAAAGGATGGCTGACGTGATTCGAGGGGGGGGTCCCCTCTTCCTCAGGCTCTGGGGAATAGGGGACCCCCTGAAATGCATCAGCCATTTGAGCATTCTCTTGCATGTGGGACTCACGCAGTACTCCAGACCATGGGCCAGTGTTGGTCATAATATGCTTGTGGCAATTTGGCATTTGTGAGTATACATCTGTTATATTTAATTAATAAACCTTTATATTGTGGTAATGTACAAGGCTTGTGCGCCACCTTCTTTTTCTTATTTTGTAGTGCTTTTCTGAGATTCTCTAGCCCCTAGGGGGCTGCACAGCATTGTTTGATTGGATTGAATGGACAGCTGTATGAAGATTTATCCACACATGCCAGAGCCGGTATTTTGAGTGCAGGAGGTTTTTTCTTTTTTTCTTTTATCTTCATCCATACCAGACGCTTATCTTAGATAAGGGCCTGTTATAGATGTTAATGGGAGAACCCACAAAAAAAAAAAAATAACTGTGGGGCTCTTCCTAAATATACATGCCAAACCCTTATCCTTGATTAGGGCCTGGCATGCAAAACAATTGCCCCAACTTGGCCTGGGTCCCCCTCAAATACCTCAGGTCTCTTATGGATTTTAGGGAGGAATCTCACAAAACAAAAAAGAAAAAAAAGTGGGGTTCCCCACCCCTAAATGCATACCTGACCTTTGGCTGAACATGAAGCCTGGCTAGCCAGGAAAAGGAAGATTAATGCCTGGCCCCCTCCTCAATCCTAACAAATTCTACCAGGCCACATGTCCTCAACATGGAGAGAGTACCTTACCAAAGGGGAGCCCTGGAAAAGCACCTTATCCCCACGCTGATGAGGACAAGGGCCTCTTCCCCATGACCCTGGTTATGGGAATCAGAGGGCAGGAGGCTTATTGGAACCTGGAACTTCCTTTAAAAATAAGGGGGACCCAAATACCACCCTTTCCTACACGAATGAGTAAGGTGAACAGTACTCATTCACAAACA